ACTGCCAGGATCGTGCATCATACGAATTTGCACTGTGTTTGAGAATGAAGTATTGCAGGGCAGGAAACTTTTTTTTCAATTTCCTTGTCTCTTCGGACAAGTGTAGTGTGTATTTTACTTATTATTTCAATCATGCCCCAGTTGGGTGAAAAGCTAAATAGTCAATCAAAACATTTAGCACAACAAATTGAATAAAAGCATATTCTTACGATATATCTGTCAGTGTATGTCAATTTGTTCATTCTACATCTGACTCATCTTGAACTCCATCCCCACATCTAGTATACATCGGGCTGCTTTTATCTGCTAATTCTGAAAAACTTCCGACAAGTGGAGCGGTGCATTTTGTTTGTTTTTAGCTCATAACAAACCCAGTCAAATTCTGTCATCTAAGGGCCGCCTGAAATTTTCTTAATTTGGCTATATCAACTTAAGTTGAAATTATAAATTGCATGGCCACCGTAACGCGCTTGGTTTCATATTTCTTTGCTTTATCTTCAATCTTTTTCCTCTTGGAAGGAACATACTTGTCAGTATTGACATTTGTAAGTGCTTCCGGTGACCTTTTCAAAAATTTAAACAATTTTGATTGAGACATTGCCGATACTCAAGCAATCAGGCGATTCAAGTGGCTCAGATGTCACTGACAAGCACCACAGGCAGCCCAAGCTCTCTTTGAGAACCACACAAGGAACACAATTTGCATAAAATTCTCTTCTTCTCTTCTTAAAGAGAAGAAGAGAAAATCAGGATTAAAAAAAAACCAATTAAATCAAGTGAAATTGGTAAAATAACGACACCAGAAGCAAGCAACACACGTATGGAATAAAGTAAGCCATTTTTATTTAATATTTTCACTTTTAACTATCTTTATGGCTATCTTGTGGAAAATCCCATACAAATCTTTATAAATTGATATGCAAATTGTGTTCCTTGTGTGGTTCTCAAAGAGAGCTTAGGCTGCTTGGGCATGCAATTGTGCTGTACAATGGGGATCATGTGGAAATCAATGGCGATGCTTAGTGAAGAAATCAAATACAACTTGCACAAAAAGAAAAGAGAGTTTATTTTCAAGGCACTAATAGTTATAAAATATGGGAAAAAGTGATTTATTATTTTTCCAAAGTCAGGCAATGTCAGAGCTCTGCAACTTACTTGTACAATCGGACACCTTTGATCATCTTTTTTCTTGTCCGAATGGAAAAGTTACCCGTCTCGGACGTTCGGAAGGGCCAAGTTTCCTGCCCTGTTAATTGCTACCCCAAAACTAAATTTGTTGCTTGAAACAATTGCATTCTAATTGTATTTCAAAATCAGTTGTAATGTATTATTTAAGCATATTTTCTTTTCATTTTGAGCTCCAAGAGGTCTATCTCAAACAAAATTGAACCAAAATACAATCTTAATAGTTTTGAAATCTTGCCCCTAAATTCACTAGGAAGTTGCAATAGAGTGAAAGGCACATGTCATGTTATGGATGCACAGCCATGTGCAACATGAGGATTTTTACCATAGTAGCTCCTTAAGATATAGGTAGGACTTGTACCTATGACATATTATAAAAAATATTAAGAAACACAGATAGAGATCTTAATGTCACAGTACAGTGTTTTTAAAATGCCATCAAGATAGACCCAACAGTTCTGATTTTCTTGAACTGCTTTCAAAAGCATTAAAGGATTGCATTGTTCTAGTTTTGTCCAGTATTGACTTTGATAATTATTTTGACACAATGTAACTCTACAGAAGACAATGTATTGGTTGGCTTCTTAAAGATTATTAGCTCCTCTCAGCTTGCATTTACTTATTTTTTTCTGAGTATGTGTTCAAGAAGTCCTCTAATACTTTCTGGTGCTCATAAGCAATGGCATGGTATAGACATTACAGATTACTTTGGCAAGACATTGATTTTCATGAAGGCAGGCCTATTCTGTTAATTAAGCAGTTAACTGACTATAAAAGGAGAAGTCTGTACTCAAAGCCAAGTAGGGGATTACTACTCCCCCCTGATGGGATGCTAATCCATGGTAAGCTAAGGCTACCCCCAGCATTTCAACAGGCTTCCCTGAAAATAAGCTGCTACCCATTTTTATACCTGGGTGAAGAGAGGTACTGTGACAGCAGTATTGTTTTGCCCAAGAACACATCACATTGACCCAGCCAGGTCTTGTGATTAAACCAACTGAACCAGAGTCTGGTGCATTAACCATTAGGCCCACTGCATCTCCCACCATGTTTCCCACTGTAGTTGACTACAGGGTATCATTGAAAACTAAACAGAGGGTGCCCTCATGTACTTTTCTCAGTTTTGCAGTGGCAACAATGTTACAAAAGTGCTGGGTCTCTGAGCAGTATAGTTACAGTGAGGAAGGATGAAACCAAAATAGATATGCTTCCTTGTTTCAAGCTGGAGGATCTTCATTCATTTGAGTGCTGCAAGACACTTTTCTGCATTCATTGGCTATGTAATTTGCAAATGTCAATTTTTCACTGATTTTGACCCTCAGAATGTCAAAATCTCTGGTGAAAGGAATTTCAGCATCATCACAGTAGGGGGGCTTGATATATGTGCCGCCCTAAATGTAATTGCTTCATATTTTAAAGTATTTCTCTTCATTCCATTTGACTTGTACCCTTTATCAATATTGGAAAGATCTGCATTTACCAGGTATGTCCTGTTGAACTTTTTGTGACATGTTACTACTGGCAGTAAATTTTGTTTACCCAAAAAAATAAAATGATAAATTTAAAGACTTTCTCAGAATCTTTTCTACACTAGTCAAAAAATTCAACTACCTCTCTAGGACCTCAGAGTCAGCCCATATGACAAACACATCAACTCTAGATATTTATAAGTTACTTATGAATGTTAAATGCACTGCAATATAGTAAGGAGATGTAAAATAAGGTGTTGTCATTGTTACTGTTGAGTTCAGACATAATTAGGTGTTAGATAACAACATCAAACTTAGCTATTGATAACTCAATCCTTTCCCTTTCAAAGGAAGACAGAGTTATAGGAATGAAATATATTACCTGTCATACAAAATGCAGACCTTACTGTCCCTTTCAGAAGAGGTTCAAGCCAGGCCTTCTTCTGTTCTAATGTGCCATATAGATGAAGAACCTCCATGTTGCCAGTGTCTGTACAGAAACAATACAACAAAGAGAAGCTATTATGTAAATCTAAGCTAGAGACAATCCATTCCCTACACATAACAAATATTGATAGGGTCAGGTTAAAATTAATTTGCCATACACCTGCAAGATTTCATGGAATTATAGAAAAGTTTTAAAAAGACCTGTTGATAACTGATTCTAGGAGATCTAAGAATATTCAAAGGAATATAAAATTACATGGAATTAGGTCAAAAATTTAGAATTCAGCATACAAGACTGTTGAATAAGATTCTTAGAAAAAGAAATGGTTACTGGTGGAAAAGCTCATCAAAATTTCTGAACACCTACCTGTGCCGGTACAGCACAATAAAATCATTTGAAGTAGTCAAAATCCCAGGTTTAATGTTGAAGACACAGATTTGCATGTAGATTTCATATAAATTTCAAGTTTCTGTCTATTCAGCTTAGGTTAGTCAGTTGGAACGGAGTCAAACTTTCTTGACACAATTTAAGGCATTTTTACCACTTATTCAGATGTTAGCCTACATGTACCTGGAAAGATAAGCTTCATGTACACATAAATTAATTTTATACCCCTTGTGGGAAAAACCACCTTCATTTACAAGAAAATAATGAGCAAGAGTTGGTAGCAGACCATAGCCCTGTGTCTGCCTTTAGATTTTAATCTTCAGCTACTGCTTTAAAAATAGCAATTTTGTCATGCTTAAAAAGACTATCCACTGTAAGAGTGCAGGCTTCACTTTGTTCATCTAAAAATGAGGTTATCATCTCTCTACAAGCTTAGTGGACGGTGAGAGTGAATGAGAGCGATAATGCACGACTATGTTACTTACGCAAAAAAAGTCGGATATGGTCTGCACAACTCTCTTTTCTAATTTTTTAACCTATTTGACTAAGACACTTTTACTCTTGCCTTAAATAAAAGGATACTCCTCATCTATGTGCCTCTAACCATTAAAGGGGAAGAGGCAGGTCAAAGTAAAAACATAAAACTAATTGAAATAGGAGGCTCCCATTTATTTCACTCGTAATCAAAGGACAATCATGCTTTTTCAGATTCCCACCCCTTAAAACTCACATATCTTGTGACTAACTCCCTATATCTATGTTAAGTTTGGGTATGAGAATTTTTAAGACCATGCAGTATTGAAAACTAGAGCCTAAGTACTTAATTCCATCCAAGTAACATTACATGATATGACTGTTACAATGTGATAAATCCATCAACCAGTGCTCTACACTGTTTACTTCTTGGTCCCTTTAATTGCTCTCTCTCTCTCTCTTTCCAGACTATTTTAATTGAATCTTTTTCTCCAGAAACTTAGATAATAAGAATTTCCTCTGGTTGACAATGCTTTAGCTCTAAATATTGTTGCCTTGCAAGTTGTTGAAAATCGTAAAATAGCGATAATTACTGTTCAACTACAACCGTCCACCAAAGTATGATTTCACACTCAAAACACAGGTAACCCATGGCCAGGCTCACTGTTTGTGTCGTGTACACATGGTTAAATAGAGAGAACATTTGGGGCAAAGTTTAGGTCTGGAAATTTGCTTGAAAATGGACATAAAAATCAATGAAACTTACCATGTGGCGATTGTTATTGTCCTTAATATGTACATGAAGTTTCGGGGAAAATATACTCTTCTTCACCTTTCCTTCATAGTAGAGACAAGGTAGGAAGCTGACGGCAGCATCAGAGACAGATAGACCCTCAATCCAGCACATTTTTTTTGCGAAAATCCAATCCGGTAGCCAAATAAACATGCCGGGCTAGTAGAACAAGAATAACTCTAAACCGTGAATCCACTAAAGCAGCTCCAGCTTGAAACACGAAGCCAGCAGGCTCCGTAAAACTTGTACGTTAGCCCACTAGTGTATGAGGCACCAAATTAAAGTGGACAAAAATGTTGTTTAGCAATTTTTCTTTCCAATTACAAAAATATGTTTTAAACTCGAGATTTTTGTCCTCGGTTTACATATTAGATGCTAACTTAGTGAAATATTTATGTGCTTTTTCGCATTTATTTTATAAACTCTTCAGTTGCATTCTAATTGCAAAGAAAACGCATTACAAGTACAGAAAAAATTATTCTAATTGAAATGTGTTTTAGATGTTCTAATGTTCTTATTACATTCGATTTTAAAAAATTAAGTATTCTAATAATGTTCTTTTCATGCCAGGTTTGAAAAAAACTGCTTGTAAAAATGAAAAATTATCTGTGAAGCCTTTTAATGGCGGCTCTCACCGAATCTGTCTGGCTTTCTCAAGGGTCACTCGTGTTGCACCGCCTTATTGAAATTGACTCAAGATTGGAGAGCCTGACTTGACAGAAGAGAAGCTGTTGCAGCGGTGGCTATGGACTTAAGTAAAGCTTTTGACTCTGTTTGTCACCCGCTTCTCCTAGCTAAATTTAAGGCATATGGTTTTACGTATAATGCACTGGAAATTATGACCGCTTACCTTATTGGACGGAGACAGAGGGTCAAACTTGATGGTGTATATTCTTCGTGGAGTACCGTTAAAACTGGTGTACCACAGGGGTCCTTGTTGGGTCCACTCTTATTTAATTTGTATGTTGATGATCTTAATTATTTTATTACTAATGTGTCCTTAAGGCTATACGCTGACGACACTACTCATTATACCTCTGACGTCTCACCAACAGTCTTGCAGTATATAATTCTCTGATCTGAGTGTTCTATCGAGATGGTTCTCTATGAATTCTTTACAGATTAATGCCGCCAAAACACAAGCTATCGCTATTGGCCAGTCTTCATACCAGTATGATTTCCATCTTAATGATCTAATGTCCATACAAAGGATACACTCAAAATCCTAGGGGTGGTCCTTGATAGCAAATTAACATTTGAAGTGCACATAAAGCAACAGCTCAATAAGGGATGCACAAAGGCTTCAGCTTTGTGGAGAATACCCAAGTTTATTTCTAAGGACGTGTTAGTTCGTTTATACAAGGGCTATGTTCTCCTTCATCTTGAGTACTATAGTCCCCTTTTACTGGGAGTAGGCAACGAGGAGACTACTAAAATAGAGACAACTAATTACTTTATAATTATTAAGAACTATATTAGGCTTCTAGAGGTCTGTGTCATACGACTTCCTCCTCAAGTTGGCCGACATTAAGTCCTTGGAGAATCGTAGGCAATTCCAATCCTTAGTTATGTTATACAAGTGCTTGTATGATAAGGGGGCACCTTATATAAGTGATTTTTTTAATTTTAGAAATGTACCGTATAGTTTACATGGGCTCAGTACAAGGCTAGATTTACCTCCTTTCAATCTTGAGTTTTTACATCAGTCATTTTCATTTTTAGCTAGTAAACTTTGGAATGCGCTACCCCCTAAACTCAGAGAATCTCAAGATATTGTTTCATTCAAGCGTTCTCTTAAAGCCCACATGACTTAGCGGTAGTGATTCTAAATATTGCTATTGTTAAAATTGTAAATTTTTGTTGATAGCTCTTGTCTATGATCTTCGATCCTGCTTTTAGTTATTTAATAGAATCTACTTATTATTTGTATTCTTACAGAAATTATGTTTTCTTTCTAATTGTACATACATGTACACGTTTTAACTAGAACTTCTGTACTCCTAGGTGTCACGTGTTTAAATAAAAGATTGATTGATTGATCTTATTCTCAGTCAGAAAATGCATTGTAATTGCAAAAATTACATTCTAATTGCCAATTATTCTCAGTTGAATTTTTTCGTGCTAATTAAAACATGTTTCTAACTAACATGCAAATTTATGCTACACAAAGCGGTGTTGGGCAAGGGTATCGAGGACACCACTGTAATTGACATTTCCTCCTTTTTGTGCTAATATTAAAGCTTTGAATTGGAGACTATCTAGAAAAGCTACGACATGCCTTTATACAGTTGAGGAAGAGGGGACAAAGAGATAGAGAGATTCTTAGAAAATACTCATGCAGTTCTCGTTCAAATTGCAGCTAGCTTCAGTCAACAATGGGAGACCCAGAATACAAACCTGGATGACTTAGAAAACACTGTTGATCCAATGACCAAGATCTGTACAACGTTTGGCGTTCTTCATCAGAGTGTACCCACTAACAGCACTGCAAATAATTCAGTCGTTGGCCTGGCGAGTATTTCAGACAATATATGAACACATCTTTGTAAGAGACTCAAAGGTTTAAAGACAGAGAGTGCCTGTTCTTTTGCGGAATACCAATGCTTAGTGAGCAGCATTGGGGAAAAAGGTTGTCCTCATTTTGAGATTATGAAGGATCAACAGGAACTCTTGCGAAAGTAAACACTTTCGCTGGGCTTGCATTGCTAAATTACTAGGAATTTCTGAGAGAACTCTTTGAAGATGAAGATGGAATTTGGACTTGAAACGGACAGTTTTACTGAGATTTCAGAGAGCAACCTTACAGCTGTCATTCAATCAGTGAATTAATTCAGTCTATTTTCCTCATTATTTCGCAGACCCTCCAGCACTTCATGTGCAGACTTCTGCTCCTCAATGCACCTGGCATGCGACTCTGGCCAACACTGCAGGGAGTAAGGGATTTGGCTGATTGAACGCCACCTGTAAGGTTGCTCTCTGAAATCTCAGTAAATCCATCCGTTTCGAGTACAAATTCCTCTCCTCATCTTCTAAGGGTTCTCTCAGAAATTCCCAGAATTTAGCAATGCTAGCCCAGCGAAAGTGTTTACTTTGCGAGAATTCCAGTTGATCCTTCATAATTTCAAAACCAGGACGACCTTCTTCTCCACTGCTGCTCTCTGGGCATTGGTATTCAAAAGAACAGGCACTCTGTATCTAAACCTCTGAGTCTCATACAAAGATGTATTCATATATCGTCTAAAATGCTTGCCAGGCCAACAACTGAATTATTTGCAGTGCTGTTAGTGGGTATACTCTGATGAAAAACACCTAACCTTGTACAGATCTTGGTCATTCGATCAGTAACGTTTTCTAATTTATCGTCTAAAATACTGGCCAGGCCAACAACTGAATAATTTGCAGTCCTGTTAGTGGGTACACTCTGATGAAAAACACCAAGCGTTGTACAGATCTTGGTCATTCAAACAATAACTTTTTCTAAGTCATACAGGTTTGTATTCTGGGTCTCCCATTGTTGACTGAACCTAGCAATTTGACCGACTTGGAACTGCTTGAGTATTTTGTAAGAATATCTCCATCTCTATGTCACCTCTTCCAAGACGGCATAAGGGCATGTCGTAGCTTCTCTAGATAGTCTTCAATTCAAAGCTTTAAAATTAGCGCAAAAAGGAGGAAATGTCAATTACATTGGCATCTGTGATACCCTTGCCCAACGCTGCTTTGTGTAGAATAGATTTGCATTATAATTAGAAACGTGTTTTAATTAGCACGAAATAAATTCAATTGAGAATAATTCGCATACTAATTAGAATGTAATTAGAAAGAAAAATTGCTAAACAACATTTTTGTTCACTTTGGCGCCTCATACACTAGTGGGTTAACGTACAAGTTTTATGGAGCCTGCTGGCTTCGCATTTAAAGCTGGAGCTGCTTTAGTGGATTCACGGTTTAGAGTTATATTCTTGTTCTAAGAGCTCAGCATGTTTATTTGGTGACTACATGGATTGGATTTTCATGAAAAAATGTGCTCAGTGCATTGAGGGTGACGATCGGTCCCTAACGGTCTGGTCAGCCTCCTATGTACCTTGTCTCTCTATTATGAAAGAAAGGTGAAGAATAGTATTTTTCCCAAAAGTTTGTGTACATATTAAGGACAAAACAAATCGCCACATGGTAATTAAGTTTCATTGATTTTTATTTCCATTTTCAACAAATTTCCAGACCTAACCTTTGCCCCATAAAATTATGTTCTCTCTATTTAACCATGTGTATGTGACAAACAGTGAGCTTGGGTTACCTGTGCTCAAAGTGCTAAGTGCAAATTCTTTGGTTGTGCAGCTTCACATCTTCTAGCCCACATAAAGCCCTCAAGTGACACCTAACCATGTGTCTCAGTGTGGTGTGCTGCACCCCAGCTTGGCACTTGAGTATGAGCACTTAATGAGTTCTGCCAGTGTTTCCTGGTGCACGTACATGAATGGGATTTCCAAGTTACACTTTGGTTGTCAGAGTATTAAGCCATATTATATCCAAAGAACATTCTGAAACAATTGCCAGCCTGTTTTTTTGGTGCCCACTAAATTTTTTTTCAAGTATATATATTTTTTTATGTTGCCAAATGGCTACTTTGTAAAAAAGGTGAGTTTGGAGTGCTAAACAGTTTGATTTTGTTATTAATCTCCTATGTGTAGGCAGACAACTGCTTCCTTTACAGAAAGTACCAAATGTTTTCAATTGAGGGTGATATATGTTACACATGGTCAATCAATCCCATCATCAAAAGTGATTTCTAGGACATGCATACACGTACACTGACAGCAAATCGATTGAAAGAGTGGATCAAGGGACAAGTAAATAAAGCCTGCTAGCTGGAAGCATGGAGTTTAAATGAAGGTCATCATGTAAAATCTGATATGCATTGACTTTGAAAATGTACTAGCACCTTTTGAGAACAAACTCTGTCTCTTCAGAGTATAAGATCTATACAGACTTTTTATAGATGCAAGTAGATCTATGAAGAACATCTTGTATTAATATTTTCGTAATTAAACAAAGAATTAAGGTACCTGGTGCACTACAGTTGAAGACTTCTGCAGCAAAAGGACATCTTCCAGTAACCTCAGCTAACACAGCATACTCAAGTTGACTTAAACCTGAGACACTTGGTAGAAATAGGTTCCACAGCCCTTCCCCTTGAGCTTTTCTCTGGGTGAGAAAAATAGACTATATTAATTTTTTTTTACCAACCTGGAGATTTTTTTCCTATCAAGAGAATCTGTTGCTTCAAAGTGCCCTATATGTGTTCCTAGATCTGTTTTTTGATAACCAGACCCCATGACAACTCTGTGTTTCTTTCAGTAGTGGGAGTAAAGCTGAGCAATCAAGAAGAGTGAGCAACTATACTATCACAGATTGTAACAAGGCAGACAATGTTTATGACAGAAAATATCAGCATGTGTGTGATTGAAGAAATTCAGGTAATGCTGTACCTTTAAATCCTCCATAAATGGAGGGACGCTCCATTGGGTTGCTGGATTATTCACATGCTGATAGTAAGCCTAACAAAGATGAATAGTCTCAGTGAAATTACTCATTTATCTCTCGAATAACAGACACATTTCTGGACCCTTAACT